GAGAGAGACAGAGAAAGAGAGAGAGACAGAGAGAGAGAGAGAGAGAGAGAGAGAGAGAGAGAGAGAGAATTCAACAGCTGAAACAGACAACAGACTGACTTAAACTCCCAGCAAAATCAATCATTATTATTGTTGAGGTAAAAAAAATTATGTATAAAATACCTGTCGACAGAAGGTGTGCTGGAAGCATCGCCAGCAGATCTCTTCCTGCGCACGTACAGGCAAACGAGGATAGCGATAATGATTGTAAGGAGGAGGAACAAGGGCAGCCCCACGGACAGACCGATGATGAGATCTCTGTCGCTGTCTGGAAATATAGATATAAGATAAGATAAGATAGTACTTTATTATCCAAAAGGGAAATTTTTCTTGACTGTACAGGACGGTAAAAGCACATGCAGGTATACATGAAAATCTAAATTATACATTACTCTCATTAAAATTCAATACGAAAAGAGAAGTAAAGCTAACAAAATGTACATATCACACCAGATGCATAATTCAACAACAAGCAGGAATTTAGTCACAAGCCCTTTGGGGTTATATAAATACATGTACATACTCTAAAGAGCAATACACATCTATGCTTATTCTGACAATAGCCTTATGCTAGATGGTTTAAAACTTCTTTTATTTATTTCTTTTTTTTCTTTTTTTTAGACGTACATAGCTGCCGCTGCGTGATCTGACAATTTGCGTGAAACTGGGAAACGTAATATTTATTTGTTGCTGTTGTTGTTGCTGTTGTTGTTGTTGTTGATGGTGATGAAGACGATGATGACAACGACAATGACCATGATCATGGTGGTGAGCGTATATGAAATATTCTTGGGAATTCTACACTACAAGTCTCAACCTTTTTTTTATCCTTTGCTGTTTACAATGATGATCATGATGATCATGATTGGGTGATCTGAATGCCTACTATTGTAATACAGCATTGCTGGGATAATTAAGTAATATTGTCATCTCCATTTCAATAAATTATCGTTACTATGTCTGCCGTTCTTACCGCTGTCTGGTGCCGCCTCCGTACAATTGGGTTTCCCGCTGATCACCTGGCACACTGTACCCACTGGGCAGTTCAGGAGATCACATTTTTGCACGGTTGGTGTCACTGGGTAGAGGGGGAGAAAAGAGAAGAAACAATTGGACACATTTCACAAAACTTTACGAACTAATCTATAATGACCAAATAGTTTACAGAATTTGCAAAGAAAATCAAAGGGCAACAGTCTTTTATTTCGTTCTGATTTGATGAATTATTAATACATCTCTTCTGAATGGAAAAAATTGAGACCAACAGCTGATGAATATTATGTCAGTATATTGTTTCCCTGCTACGCAAAAGCTAGGGAGACAAAAGGTTTACTTGACAAAGAGTTGCAATTGCTGCTCATGGGGATAGAGTTGTATTTGAGAGAGTTCATAAAGCTTACATAGGATAGAGTTCTACTCGAGGGATCTTATAAAACGTACCTGGAATATTGTTGTACTCGAGGGAGCTGATGGGAATAGCCGCGCCGTTGACCGTCAGCGTGTTGGCGTTCGCCAGCTCGTGAGCCAAGGCAGCAGCGTCACCAGGTGGGTTGTTTGTCTTTGTCTCATCCACCTGGACAAATCCCAGGGCAATGACAGACCCGTTCCTGTATATAAAAAATAGTAGGTATTTTAATATGGCTTTTGAAGTAGTCGCAAAACAAATAGGTCACATTCGTACCGACGGGAGGCGTTTGATGGGAAAGAAGTTATTCGCCATATTTTTTGACAAAGTCTATGATCATGACAGGAGTTGATTGAATTAGATATGCTCGTTGGTATAACAGACAGGAAATAACAGGAGAAAATAAAGCAGGCATTACTTACTAGGGGCACCCACAAACCACCCACTTTCTGCGAACCCCCCCCCCCCCCCAGACAGTGGCGAAGCGTCTATATAATCAAATAATCACTGCTTCCCTTCCTAATTTTGAAACATTGCCGCAGTCAAATTCACCCATAGACATAAACCTCATAAATTAAATGTAAAAAGACGCTCATAATCACCAATGAACGGTATGCCTAACATTCGAAACAGTTTCATAGCCACAGAAAGAGCCTGTTCACCCATATCGTGCCACTCCATAAACAGTCGCAAGCTTTGATTAAGTAAGCCTACAGTGAGGCTGGAAGAGTCTACCAAAAGAGTTGAAGGGAACATGATGTGTGCTACATACAGTCAAAACTGTTTCATTGCCACATATACCCTGTTCACCCCTTTCGGGCCACATTAATAAGCAGTCACAAGCACTGATTGTATAAACGAACTATTACTCTGGTCGAGTCTACCTCACAGATGTGAGGGGAACTAAATCCTAATAATATCTTGACTGCTGCAAGTGCTTGTCTTTTTACCTCGACTTTATACCGTCCCATAATCAGATCGTGACCTCGTTTATGACACCGGCTCCTAGCAGCGAAACGCAAGACAAAAACAGCCAAATGTGAAATAGAAAGATTTATAATTGTCATGTTCTACCAAAGAATTTAGTCTCGCTGGTATTACATACTGTAGAACTGACACCTCTGCTTCTTTGCTTTGTGTTTGTGTATTCGTATCTAAAGATGAATTTAATGTTTGTTGGAAAAAATATTTATGAGATACTTTCCCGATTATTTAAGAGGTTGAACATACATACAACATGAAGTCAGGATTTGTTTTCATTTTTCATTCGCAACGCAGTGTTGCCGCCTCGAGTAAGATTCTTGTGTGATATCTCCGGGCCCTACACTGGTCCCATTTGACTTTGATTACCCTGTCAAACAAGTCAGCCTTCGGCCCTGCTCCCAGAGTTATCAGTATTATTATTACAATTTGCTTCCAGTAGTCGATCGTGTTCAGAAGGACATCTAGCCCATATAAAGATTAGAACAAGGGGTGAGCCTTCTGTTCTAAAAGCATTACACAATGTAAAAGTACAATAAATAAAGAACTCACCGGAACTCAACTACCATCACCCGTGCAATGGATGGTCCGATGTTACTGACTCCATATTGAAGAAGCTGGAAAAGAAGAAAAGAAATAGTCAGAAGGCGAGGAGAAAAAAAAGTATTTCATTTTTCATTAGGCAGGCAGTAACATGAAATGTATGTTTCTTTCGCAAAAAATACTGACAATACTGTGCGTTAATTGTAAAAGAATGAGGCTAAAGGTCCAACGACCCCATCAACACAATATGTGAGGCATCGTTGTGAAATCAGGCGCTCGTCAAAATAATGAAATCAAAGATTTTGGCATGTTTCTACCGGTTTGGCAATTTTTGTAGAAAAGTTGTGTTTTAATGTAAGGTTAACACCTTTTATGTCTATTGAAGACACATTTATTCGTGAACTCTACTCAAACAAAAGTTCGTTAAAAACACAAAAAATGTACATTTTAATTTTCCAAGGACTTTCAAGCTATGGAAGTTACCAAACTTTGGCGGCCGTCTTCTCGCTAATTGTACCTCTGAAACCAAGCGACCCCCACCTCCCTCAATCGCAAATATCTCGATTTGTAAATTGGAATAGAGGGTATATTTTTTCATCCACAGATTGACAAATAAGCAAGCTTTAAAATGATACCAATGACGTCACATGCCCAAAAATTGACGAGAGCTGATTCCACCCCATCGACACAACACAGATAACGTAAGTGGCAAACTTCTTCGACATTGTCTGTCAAAGCAAACCTGGGTCAAGCCAGAGATTGCATATCAACAGACAGACGGACGGAGATATCCGATAACAGAATGTCCCCATCCGGGATTTAAACGCATGTCTTCTGCCTACAACAGAGAAAAGCCTGACTATTACACTATGGACATATATACACCACATCCACAAGTGGAGTCGCTCCTATAGACAGATATTAAAGAAATGAGACAGCTCTGAACAGTCTACCACTAGTGCCTCAACAAAGAGAAAATAGAGTGTCATGCAAAATAACAAAAGCATAAAGAAATTTAATTATGCCTGACAAAAATATTCCATTCCGTGTTAACGGTTTCAGATATAAATAAACTAAAACAAAAGATACAGGAAAACTGGTTTTGTTTCTTGAGTAGGATCTCAAGTACTCTGACATTTAGATTGAACAAAGGGGACACTTCGAAAGAATAACTATATAATTTAGAGCAGGAAAAAGCAAGGCAGATAGACAGAAGCAAAACAAACAGGGTGGAAAAGAAGGAGTACATACCAGTAACATCCACTCTCTAACCACCAGCTAACAGTTTTACAATCAAGGATTAGCCAAATGAAAAGGTGGAGAAAATAATCCACGCCATGCGACTTTGTTTGATTTTGAGACAAAGGTACATATTTTGGAGATACTCGTTCACAACTCACCGCAGCCTCAATCTCCTTCCTCAGCTCCCTGAACGCAGCCGTTGTGTTATCAAAGACGTCCGGATCGATCTGATCGTTCCTATAGCCAAGTGTGACCTTCAAATTGTACGGGAGTACATCATCTGCAAAACATGATAAGAAACCCTGATTACCAAGTACACCGTCTGGAAAACATGACAAGGAACCCTGGTTACTAATTATACCACTGTTAAACATAATAAAGAAATGAAGAATATAATAAAGATACTTTTGAGGCGTAAGAGACTAGGGGAAGCACTATATATACACAAAGTCAGTAGAGAAATAACAAGCGCATCAGAAAACAGATTTTTGTCAAAATCTAAAATGATTTTTTTTAAAATAATAATATCAATATCTTCACAATTCAAATCTAGATGTGTTTATTTCTGGGGCGTATGCAGTTTTGGAAGGTTCAATAGGCCAAGCTTCACCTTAAATTAAAAAATATCAGCAGTCCATGTGACATACAGCCGGATAGCCCGTTAGGCGATGGAACATTATTATTCGCATACTTCCACTTCTGCCATTTCCTAAGTACTTTATTAGCAACAGGAAGGACCAATGATATTTTTCCCGAGAAGAACTGAAGCCAATTACTTTGACAGGAGAAAGATCCATTTGTATTGACACACAGCTGTGTATCACTGCAGTCGCTCAAAGCATCATTGAGACACTCGTTCACATCTGAAAAAAGAATAGAAGAAAAAATGTTATCTTTGAATGAAAATGCTATGTGTTTTTTTTTTGCTTCTTTTACTCTTATAATGAGCAAGCACTCATTAGTATGCGATCAACATTGTTTGCAAAAGCATCAGTAATAATACAACTTCATCTTTCTATTATTGTTTACCTTTTGTCAGTCTGGTGCACTAGAAACATGAACAATGCTGTCTTAAACAAAAGGCGCTCACGCTAAAATTGTAAATTATTTCCTTTCTTCGACTGATTGCAGAAATTATTGCAAATTTATTAAGCCCCTGTTGACAAAATGTGTACAATTCAGAAGGTGGGCCGCTTCGAATTAGTTTGTTATGACCAACCAAGAAATCCTAAAACACAGATGGAAACAATCAAAAAAATATTCACACCTCCCCGTTTTCCTACCCCCTACCTACAAACAAACACACACACGCAAACTCACACACACACACACACACACACACTCACACATACACACACACACACACACACACACACACACACACACACACACACACACACATGTATTGATTAACAAGCAGAAAAATAGGACGATACCTTCAGTTTATGTAGTACAATAGGGTGGAATAGAGTTTGGATAGTAAATGACCAAATGGAGAGATAAGTAGAGAAATAGAAACAATGCCAGATGTGTGTAGACATGGATAGACAAAGACTAATAAACAAACAGAGGAGGAAACAGACAAATCAGGAGAGCAGACACCTTCAAGGTTCACCAACAGAAGAACACCTACCTTCACAATCATCACCAGTATTTGGTCTTTCGTACCCCGATTTACACAAACATTCCGCAGAGCCGTTCAAGTTGTTACACCTTTCAAAGGGTCCAGAACAGAAGCTTGAATTCTCTTGACATTCATGGATGTCAACCGTACAGAGGGAACCGCCCCAGCCGATTTTACAGGTGCAGGTTCCGTTCCCATTGTCACAGTCCAGGGTGTTGGCATATTCACATTGACAGGTCTGATTACAGTCTTGGCCGTAGTGGGTGGCGTCACAGGCTGTGAGAGAGCAATAAAATCATTTTTCTGGGTGTTCCTGAAGGTGCATCAGGTACGCGTCTCCCCATTTATTATTTTCTTTTCTCTCTTTCTCAAACACACACATACACATACACACACACACACACACACACACACACACACACACACACACACACACACACACACACACACACACACACACACACACACACACACACACACACACACACACACACACACTTTAGGAGAGTTTTAAAAATGGATGAAAGGGCATATACAAGAACGTACTCCACTAAAATGTGACGATAACTTACCTTGGCATTGAGCAGTGGCATTTGGTCGTTCGTAGCCAATGACGCAAAGGCAATCAGGTGGAGCGCCAACATTATTCTGGCATTGCTCGGTGACGGAATCACAGAGATTTTGATTAACCTGGCATTCGTCTATGTCAGTGGAACAGTCGACTCCCTCCCAGAAACCATTACAAGTACAGTTGCCGTACACGTTACTGCAGCTGGCTGTGTTGGCAGGTACACACGTACAATCATTCTGGCAGTTGTCGCCGTACTTGTAACTATCGCAAGCTGAAATGGAAAAATGTGAGTCCAGGTGTGAAAAATGGTATACGTTCAACACTATTAGGTTATTTGAGAGGTGGGACCTCCGACTTTAACGTCCATCTCCGAAAGGACCGAAGGCCCAGGTGTTACGTTGTGCATTGTTCTCGCATAGGCGTAAAGAACTTTTGGTACGACTAGCTGCAACGAACATACTTCTGCCTCTTTTCATAAAGTACAAGTTTAGAACTCTGTGGTATAATTATGTTGGGAGTTGCAATGCAAACAATCAAAGTTACAGTTACGATTCAGTATGTTTGGCACATGTCCTTTTTATATTCTACGTATTTTTTGCGTTTTAAGATTGATGGCGGGCAAAGGAAGGAAAAGAGGACTGAATACGACTTTTACACTACATTGTGGGGCCCACAGAAAGATGGAGAGACAAATGAACCACGGTGGCAGATGGGTGCAAGATAGATTACAGAATTGATGCATGATCTCCTAGACAAACAAACGATCCAGAGGTCAGAAAATTTTTGATCTCCATCTCTGGTATACACCTACCTTGACAAGAGGCATTGACATCTGGTCTGGCGTAACCCGTGATACAGAGACACTCCGCAGAACCGTTCAAGTTGCTACAATTTTCAAAGGGCCCAGAACAGTAGTTTGTAACCTCTGTGCATTCATCGAAATCAACTGTGCAAAGGGTACCATTCCAGCCGTTTTGACAAGTGCAGGCCCCATTCACATTGTCACAGTCCAGGGTGTTGGTATATTCACATTGACAGGTTTGAGCACAGTCTTGGCCATAGTGAGTAGCGTCACAGTCTGTGAGAGGGCAATGAAATTATTCTTAGTGTACAAAAAGTAGCGGATGAATGAGACTAATTTTCCTAAATGAGATTGAAACATTTTATTGATTCTCAGTGTGACAAGTATTACACAATGTGGTAATTGACAACAACAAAAAAGCCAGTCTTCAAAAGTGCAAAGGTCAAAATGAAGAAAACCAATGGTGTCATGGTCTAACCGTATAACTGGTTTCCTATTTTTGTTTCCTGGGGTTTAGTAAGAGTTTTATGGCACTTGCAACGGAATAAGGTCATATATGTGCGAAGATTAGAAGTGTTATAAGAGAGTAACAAACACAAAATAGAGTTAGTAGAGATACGGACAATAGATGTTTGATAGGAAAGAAGGAGAAAAACACACCAAAGCACCCACCAACCACCACCGTTTTAACATATAAAAAGCCCTTCCGGTTTAAATTATTTGAAGACATAAAACGTTTGCCCCCAGTACCTTATACTATTTGTACTGTATAGTGGCGTCTAGTTGTGGCGGGATCCTCAAACTAGAAGGCGTACAAGACTACAGTGAACTTTTGCTCTATTATACATCTATTTGGGAGTATAAAATTCTTCTATTTTATTGTTTGTGTGGATACTTGTTTTGCGGCACAGACTTCTTCATTGGGTACACTGAAAGTTTTTAATAGTACACCAAGCAGCCTTACTCACCAGTGCATTCACCAGCCCCTGTCCTGAAGAAACCGATGTTACACTCGCACCTGTAACTGCCTGGAGCATTGACACAATATGAGTTGTCACCACACTGCACGGGGTCGGGAGATCGAGTACACTCGTCGACATCTTGGTCACAGTAGACCCCAGTCCATCCTTCGAAGCAGTTGCACGTACCGTCCACACGGGAGCAGTTGCCGTGCGTGGTGTCGCAGATACACTGCTGGGCACACTGTTCACCAAAGAATCCGTCGTCACAATCTGGTAAAAAAGGAAATAACATTGCAATGGTAAATGTAAAGGTGGAAGGCAAGAGAGTATATAGCCAGGTGGAGACCTAACAGAAGATGGGAACAGTACATGGGAACCTGGCTTAAAACCAAAAATAACCAAGGCAGGTAGAATGACGAGATACAGGGTATTTTATAGTAGAAAGAACCGAGAAGCTATGTGTAACCACTGAAAGAATTAAGAAGAGTAAGAATTGTTAATGCTTCAACCCCCCCCCTCCCTCTCCCAGCCCGCCCGATTAACATATATATTTCAGATCTTTGCCTGCCTAGGCCAACCTTGGCTAAAAAGGAGACCACGTCCCTGAAGGTAAAAGCATATGCTTTAAAATGCCTGACCACACGAGAAGAAAACCCACATCTTCTGCATGCGACAGCAAACGCCGAACAGCTGCACCACAGGAGTCGGCCCGAAACAAATGTGTCATGACGTGATGGAATCAGGCGCTCGTCAAGATATGGACATGTGGAGTTTGGGTATCATAGTGTCTTGCTTGAGATGGAAAACATACCCATTTATCGTGAAAAGAAGCCGAGATATTTTCGATTAAAGGAGGTGGGGTCACCTGATTTCAAAAGTAAAAATAAGCGAGAAAAATGGCCGCCAAAGTTTAATGATTTTCAAAGCTTGAGAATCATTGGTTTTAAAGGGACATAAATGTATTGAAGCAGAAAACAAAGGTTCGATTTTTTTAAAGTCCCAAACGGGTGGGGCAGTACCGATTTTTTCAATTTCATTACTTTGACGAGCGCCCAATTTTTCTCTGATTTCGTCACGATGCACGACAAATAAAACGGAACTATGACAACATTGTATGCATCTTTACTAACCTTGACATTTGACCTTGTCTCCAGCTAGCTTAGTCCCGTTGGCGCACACGCAAGAGAAAGAGCCCACCGGTTCGTTCTTACATTCCTGGGCATTGACGCAGGGGTTGGTGAGACATTCGTCGACGTCTAAAAGAATATGCAAAAAAAGAGAAGACAATGGTGATGATAATTATGGCAGTGAAGATTATTCGAATTCATTATCTGGATATTCAAAGAATTGCATTCGAAAAAAATTTGACCTATTATTGTAAAACTCAAAGTTTTAAACGTCAAATTTCTCAAAGCTAGGTAATGAGCAGATAGAACTTTGTAATTCTAGGGTAGCAAATTGCGTACCTTCACATGTGAATCCGTCGCCCTGAAGAACGAAACCTGATGGGCATATACATGTTTCTTGATTGCCATCAACGACACAGCTATGGGAACAATTATCCTTCTTGGTAACACACTCAGTAGCACTTATTCCTGAAAAACAAAAAGTGGGATAACATCAAGGACTTGACATTGAGAGGCACTTTTTTGGTTGTTTATTTCATTTGATGCTGGGTTTTTTTGTTGTTTTGTTTTGTTTTGAGTTTTTTGTTTGCTTTTTGGATGGTTTGTTGTTTGTTGTTGTTCTTGTTTTGCTTTACAGTTTTCCTCATTTATCATGAACATCTACTTGCCTGTACTATGTCCCCATATATCAAATCTCCATTACTTTTTAAACACATCGCTGGGTAAAACAAGCTCGTCACTTAAAATACATCTTTTTTGTAGAGAAAAGGCTAATGCATAAATATTTTCACATACAACTTTCTGGGACAAAACAGGGAAAAGGCTAACGTATTGTAAGAGTTAACGCTCATAGCTAAAGCTTCTCTCCGAGCAAGAGCAGAGTGGCAAAAGCTTACTCAAGCAAGTGTTCCTGGATGTCGTGTTGAGTCTGAATCCGCTAAAGCACTCGCAAGCAAAGCTCCCCTCTGTGTTACGGCAGAGTTGTTCGCATTCATTCAGGCCCGGAACGGCGCACTCGTCAATGTCTGCGGGAAAGACCAAGGGTTGAATTAAATAAAAGGTGTGGTCCGAGTCAACACAATAGCGGCTATCCTTCGACTGGTTTGTTTGAGGGACAAGGAGACTGACAAACAGACATATAGAGACTTTCAAACAGAGACAGGCTTGTTAGTAGATTGTTGAATTTTCAACGATTAACAAAGAAACTGGAAAACACATACATGCTCACACACACACACACACACACACACACACACACACACACACTCTCTCTCTCTCTCTCTCTCTCTCTCTCTCTCTCTCTCTCTCTCTCTCTCTCTCACACACACACACACACACACACACACACACACACACACACACACACACACAAACAAACACACACACACACACACACACACACACTAACATACACAAACAGAGAGAAAGAGGGGGGAGAGAGAGAGAGAGAGAGAGAGAGAGAGAGAGAGAGAGAGAGAGAGAGAGAGAAAGAGAGTACAAACAAAATACAGATACTTACCGAAGCAGTTGTCGCCCTCGCTACGGAATCCAGGGTAGCAAGAGCAGATGTAACTACCCATAGTGTTATTGCACTTGTGGTCGCACACGGATGAGTCGCACTCGTCAATATCTGCAAAAAGAACAAAAAATATTTGATTAATTTACTTATTACTTCTTTCATCCTTTCTCCTACGGACATTTCACACAATGCCATTCGATAAAGCATCCAGAGAACAGAAAATGACGCAATTCAAACAAAAGCGAACGACAAGTCTGAGAAAATCTCACAAGCATAATAATGTTGATCAAGTTGTTGTTTTCTTGTTGTTGTTGCTGGTGGTGATGATATCTTATTTTTCTGTTTTTGTTTGGTTGGGGGGTTTTTATTTGCTTGTTTGGGTTCGTTGTTTGTTTGTTTTTTTAAGTTGGGGCGGGTTTCTTTAAGCCTGGCTCATCTTCTCATGATTCAGAGGGCACGTCCCAGCGATTTTTTATGAAATACCCACCCGTAGTGTCATAATTCATAAACAGCAACCATGAAAAGCATTTTTCCAAGACGTGCTACTTACCTTTGCAAGAACCGTCGAGCTGTTTCTGGTATCCGGTTAAGCACTGACAGATGTAAGAGCCTTGGGTGTTGATGCAGTTGGCAGACGTAGAATTGCAGATGTCCGTTGTCGCAGCACATTCATCGATGTCATCGTCACACCGGACACCCAGGTATCCTTCCAGACACACACAGCCAATGACCTTATTGCACTCTCTGGTTCCTTTGGGGTTGCAGCTACACTCATTAGCACAGTTCTCTCCCCAGTGGTAGTCATCACAGGCTAGGGAAAGGTGGGTGGCGAGGGGAGGGGAGAGAGAGAAAGAGAGAAAGAGAAAGGGAAATAAATATAATATTCTCCCTCAGCTAGCTCCATCTTTCTGCAACTCTTTTCCTCAATATTTGAGTGAGATAAAGTCGGATGCAAAATTCAAAACTCATTTTAAAAATATTATTTCATGAAATGTCTTCTTGATTATTAGCCCTTCTTACACGAAGTATTCTTCGGTTTATAGTAATATGATGTGCATAACATGGTTGTCATTGATTGTGCTATGATGTATGAATTGCACTTAATGATTACGAGACAGAGTGATTAGTAGAGCCGACATGAGTTATAACACATGCTTCTAGGAAGTATTCACTGCCATTTAGTATTCCCTCGTCCCACCGTGTATATCTCAAGGGTCCAAGCATCGATAAAGTTTTGTTTCCTCAAAATAAAATGAAACAGGGCGCTACACTGCAAAGGCATACTTCTGAAATTGTTTTGCATTGGTAATGATATTTTTATTCGTTATTCTTTGCGTGTATATAATATGTGTGTTTGATGATGTATTTATGTATGTATGTTTACCATTGCAACTCAAATTTACCTACGGGGATCAATAATATATGTTGAAAATTACTATTCACCTTGACATGTTCTCTTGTCGTTCTGCAGCTCCGAGCCCGCGGGACAGTCACACGTGTAGGAGCCTTGGGAGTTGGTGCAGGTGTCGGGATCGGTGCACTTGTTGAGCGTACCGGTTGTGTCCTGGCACTCGACCACATCTGCAGGGGTAACAAGGTCATAGGGTAGGAAGGCCATGGGGTTGAAAGGTCATGGTGCAGAAGGTCATGGGGTCAGAAGGTCATGGGGCAGGAAGGTCATGGGGTCCGAGACCGCAAACCATTAGGACACATAGTCGAGGGAGTAGGCTGAACAAGCCTAAGCGTTCAACATTAC